AAAGAGCAAGCTGCAGTTTCCAGACATATGGAGCGATACATTTTGACAAGAAAATATTCTTAGGTACCAGAGCACATTACCCTTTTATAACAATAGCGTTCATAATAATAGCTAGGTAGCTAATTAGTTACAGGCAGACAGTTACCAAGATAGGTAGACAGATACATGCAGCATTTTCTTCACAGATTCCAAAGTGCCAGGCAAAGCAGCTCATCATTATTCCGTTCTACAAGTGGAAGCCAAAGACAATTAGAGCGACTTCCACACAACCCTCTAAGCATCAGCAGCAGTGCCAGGAATAAATTCCTGACTCTATTAAAGCATCAATCTGTAAAGCAGTAACTTCTCAGTCCTCTACCCTGGTCTTTCATGAGCATGGTTATATCTGAACTAGATGTACCAAGCAGTTTGAAAATTGGTTTGCTGATATTTTGTCCAGATGGGAAAAAAATTAGGAAACTATTTTTCAATAAAAAATAGGATTTTCTTTTTTTTCTAATTAGAAATCTGTTGGAATCAGATATGGATTAGCTGTGAGCTCTTTTTTTGGAAGCTAAGGTCACATTTTTGTTGTACTTCAGTGATGCAATAGTTCAGATATGCCACCTTGTCACTGATCCGCATTCATGACGGGATAGCAAATCCCACTTTTAGGCAGATACTACCATGTTGAATATGTTTGAATGATGTAATACCATAATTTTAAGTAAGCTTGAAAACAAAGGCGGAGAAAAAGGAACAACTCTAAAGGTGGAGAAAAAGGAACAACTCTGAGAGAGGAAAAATGCAACAGTTTGACCCTGGGTGATTACCATATGTAGTGATTAATCCATATTTTATTTCGTAAATTATTTAAGAACATGTGATGAAGCTGTTTCCATTTTCAGAAACACTTCAAAACAAATTCTATGTCCTGATGACCTTCTTAAGATTACTTATTTGTAGATTCTTTTAAAGAAAACCAAATTTAAAAGAAATAGACTTTTGTCTCAACCAATCATAAGGTTGAATCTTTAGCAACTTTTAGGCACCTTGTGATAGGGATGCTTTTTCTTCTTTGGATATTATGATCCTGTCTCATCCACTATGTACAGAAGACTACTTGCTAGACTTCTTTGTTTGTATACCCCTTCTCTGCAACTGAAATGTCAGCATTAATGACAACGTGGTGTTGATCCACCTTTATGATCTACCTCAAGAGCATACTGCCATTAACCATGATGTCCCACTTTCCTCTTCACCATTTCTCCTCCCTTCTGCTTGCAAAAGTAGTCTGGCTGCAGAATCGAAACATCAAAACAAACAGATTTGTTTTCAGGCAGACCAGTTTTCTGGGTTGGTTCACCACACTGTTGCAAGAAATGTTTGTGCTGCAATAATGGAGGGAGTGCGAATGTATATCTAGAGCTAAGATAACTTCTTGTAGCAGCCAGAACTTAGTCTCAAAGGGGCAGTGAAACCAGAGCTTTTAAAAGTTAATTGGACTGGAAACAGCGGGTGATGAGGAGGTCCAGAGAGACACAAATGACAGCTCTTCCATAATCTGTTTTACTGGTTTGTCTTGTATCTCCTGTCTATAGAGAACTGCACTTACTGTACCTACCTCAGATAAGAATCACAACGATAAATCAACAGCAGTCTGTCCAGCTCTTTTGCCACAAAAATAATGCTAGAAATGAGCACAGAGGAATAGCAACACGTGCGCCTCATTACAATATTGGCTATATGGGAGAAGAAGAAAAATGGCTCCTGCTTTTCTAGATTTTCCAGTATTTTCTACATTTTCCCAGAATGTCTGGGCTAACAGAAACATCCGCATGAGCTTAACCTTATTAATTCTGTAGATTTCACTTAAATACATTTTACAAGATGCCTTGCAGTAATTGCACTTTACTATTGCAAGGATACCTCAACCATAAATTGCTTCTTTTGTGACAACACCTTTAAAGGAGCTGAACTTCGTAGTGATAAAGAAAACCAGCAAAGTCAAATGCAATGATAAAAAAGGCATAGTTTTCGTCACTTTAACTATCTGTATGAGGCATTTCTGCTGTCATGGATGTGTGTTTCAGGAATCGCACCACCTAATATTTATGGCCTGTGGGAATCTGTAGTGTAATCCTGGTCCTTAAGGAAAAGCACATTCTTAATGTCTTGCAAGATCAGGTGTTCACCTTCTGAACAGTGATTGTATTACATCTGCATTTTTATGGCGCTGTGCACAGTACTAAACAAATAACAATGCATAATCATCCTTAAGCATTCTTCATTGTAGACTGTAGTACTAATAGAGAGAATAGCAGTAACACGTACATGTGTATATAAATAAAGCGTTTGATAAAACTATGCTGAAACATCTTTGGCCCGGATAGTGACAAAGCTGGAAAGTCTCAAATGCCAGAGAAAACACAAAATTGCAGTATGTTAATAAAAGAATAATCAGTGGGGCTCTCAGTCCACTCAAGAACACATAGAACCAGGCTGTATAGAGTAGGAACATACATACAAAGTCAAACTATCTGATGGATTACACAGCCCTTTATTTTCTATTGCTAAGATTGGATGCCATACTTGAATGGTATTTGTTTTGGGAGTATAAATATTATGTTATTAATACAGCAGTATTCTATTATGCAAGATAACTGCTTCCTATGCAAAATATAAAATTAGTAATTGCCAGTGATGAACAGGCTTCACAACGGGACATGAAATATTTATTTACTCAACTACTCTTATTATGTTCAACTTTATAATTATATGATTACAGTTGTCTGGTTTCATATGTCATGCAAATTTATTTCAGCAGATATCATGTTCACTTTAAAACAGCCAAGAACACGGCATTGCTGAAACATTATTGCTAGCCTCTTACAAAGACTACAGCATCACTAAAAGGTTCATCATCTCTACCAGAACTTCTCCAGTCTTCCAGCTCCCTGCTATTTTAAATTCTTGTGGTAAACATCACCTATGCTGGCAACTTTTGCAACAACCTAAATACGTTACTTCCCAATACAGTTTTTACAGGGACAGTGGCATGAAGTGCATTCACTGTGACCAACCCACTTAGCAACCTGTAGCAGGATCACAGAGACACTATCAGTATGAGTGCCCAGTACAGAGTCCTGAGAGGCAATGTGCCAGAGGACCTATTTCATATCTGCCAGCTATTGAAAAACAGTAGGTGTCAGATGGTGACAGAAAGCAGAGAGTGTTAATGTAATGCACTGAAGAGCATTAGTCATGCTACATGGCCACAGTAACTTCTCCCATATAATTAAAGATATAAGCAATAAATATTTTAGATTTTCTGCTTCCCTTTTTCCTCCCACCTCTCAGGAAACATAGGCCCAGTCACACTTCAAAAGTAACAAAGAGGAGCAGTAATGTTAGGCACCCAGATTAAGCATATTCATGTTGCTTCAACACAATAAAATAAACAGAGTTAAACAACAAGAGAAAATTTGCAAGTCTTACTCCACGAACTTCTGCTAACAGCACCTGTGCCACTATATGCTTCCCCATCACTGAAGCGTTCATCATCAGAGTGTTTAAAGGCTGTACAACATATAAGTTGGTTTGAGAAAAAGGAATACCCTATAAGTTAATGCTGTAGAAGTAGAAAGACAATACTATGCTTTGTGGATTTAAAGATGATTAAATGGTAGTTCCCAAGAATGGAAGAAAATGTGAAACAATGTGAACCTAAGGCTATAAGCAGTTTAAAGGCCTTTTATCATCATCATTACACAAGTAGCTGGATGCTTTTCAAAAAGAGAAAATTAAGCATAAACAAAGCCTGAGAGAAATAACTTAACTGATCGTGTTGCAGTAGAAAATAACTTCTTTTTGAATACCAACAAATTAAAACATTTGTTTCTCTTTGCTTGCAGTTTTGTAAGCATTAAAAAAGAAGTTTCTGCGGCCCAAACAGCATTTTCTCAAGAGAGTAACTAATCAGCCTAATTCCCATTTCAAAAAGTAACTTAAACACTTTAGGAGTATGAATGCCGTTAACTCCTGGTGTAATTCAGAACCACAAGCACCTTTGTGTGCTTTGTGAAAGGAAAAAAAAAAACAAAAAAGAACCCAATAACCTGGATTCCTAAATCCCTAGGGCTTTTTTAAATTGTAGTGACTCTACAAAGTGTTTCTACAAAAGAATAATAACCATATAATATGGCATATGTAAGATACTGCAATACTAAGTAACATCGCCAACAACTGAAAAGTAGTTAGCAAATTTGTGCAAATGTAGGTATACCTTATGAGATATCATGATTAAAATTTGTAAGAAGTCAGTCATAAACTTTTATAAATGTATCTTCTTAAGCTATTTCCTTATTTCTGTGCAGTATGAAACTGCAGCACTTTATCAATCCCTCCAGAAGTCCTCAGAAATTTTCTTGGAACTTAGCTAAGCGATGTAACATATGCCTCTCTGTACCTGGAATAGAGTCCGAGACCAAAGTGCCAAAGTTATCAGCATGTTGTTATTTTATGTTACACTGTATGTATCTGTCTTTTGCATGTGCCAAAAGGTCCCCAAAGAAACTGTCTCCTCACCTTCCACCTTATGCATCTTCTTACAGGAATGTTTCCAATTAAGCAGAACTCCTCAATATGTTTATCTGAAGTAGGTGGCACTGATCCAAAAAGTTTATTGCTCAAATACCTCTTTATAGGAGGATCAAGCCCATTACACTTGATTTTTTAAAATCTCAAGTTGAGAAATGCTCACATTTGAGGATTTGGTTCTGAAAAGATTATAAGAAGCTTGTGTTGAAAAAGAAGTATGGGTCTAGGATTCTGGTTTGGGTCAATATTTGGCATTCTTATTCAAATCCCATAATGAGCACATCATTTTAAAAAAGCTACTGCATAGAACATAATTTCAAGAACTGCAAAATGAAAACGTCAAAGCACTTACACAGCTATCTTAAGCCTATATTACAGGTGGCATAAGTGATATGGAACGGGAACTTAGTGAAGTAACTCACCTTCCTCATCTGAAACATCCAGGACCTCGGTCATTGTTTCAGGTACATTTAGCTTGTGCTTTTCTGTTACAGTCTGCAAAGACAGAATCAACAATTCTCAAATCAAACATCACAAGAAGAAAAAAAGTTTACAGCAGGATATTTTCAAAAGCAGCAGCAGTGGGATCTGCTGAGACATTTTATAATGTGCTTCCCCTTCCTTCCCATTTTATTTTTCTTCTTTACTTCAGAAGCTCTTGCTCTCTGGACTACTATAAGGTAGCATTTACTCTGGCAGAAGCGTACAAAAAAAAAAGATAATAAGCTAACTAGAAAAAATAAAGAAAAGAAAAGAAAAGAAAAGGTCTCAGTGAATTTATTTATAAATGGTGCACAGAGAATAACTCAGCTCAGTATTTCCAAGATGATTTTAAAATGAATTAGGTAATGTCTACAGAAAAGCTTCACAGAAGTTGTATGTGGCATATGGAAATTATTAAATGGTAAAGCATTTGGAAATGGAGTTATGAACAACTGGAAACTTTTAAACTAAAAAACATGCAAAATGTTTAGATAGATCACTTGAAACAGTTCTCCCACCAAAAAGTGACTATACACTGTGTACAAATGATGTCCCTTTCCTACATCATGTATATTCCCCAAAATCATGCACACATTAGAATAAAATTATTCAGAAGTTCTGATGTATTTTGTGCACCTAAAAGCTTACAAATATCATGACACAGAGCAAGTACGGAACAAGGACAGTCGGGATTACGTTGCTTAGGTGAGAGAGAGCATGGAGTAGGAGAACGCTGGAAGAATTTTTTCATCTGATTTTATGAAACAGAAGATGCTGAGGGACCCTGAACAAAGAAGAGGGATATCCTCTTAGCATCAAGATATACACCGGGGAAAGAGATGAAGAACATAGTGAGAGGAATTATGAGAAGCGCAAGGTGCGAGAAAGTTGCCTACAAGAGACTCTTCAGTGCGTTGTAACGCAGAAGATAAAATGGCACAGACTTAAAAAAGAGGAGTGATCAGAAACAGCATTAGTCACAACAGAAAAAAATACGTTTCCTTGGCTCCACCCAGATCTGCAGCCAGTCAGCTGAACTGAGGAGCTCTGAAGGGGAGTCAATACATCACCCCATAAGGTATACAGCAGCAGATGTGCCCCTCTGGCATGGAGGGGAACATCAGGATGCCACGTGTCTTGTGAAACTCCCACCGCGGTAGTACTTTGCTCCCAACCGGGGATGGGATCTAACAAGCATAAATTAATGCTATATGCAGGAGGAGTGAAAAAGCACACAATTTGAGTGACAATTAATGTCAGCCAACCCTGGGGCTCTTATACAACGTGCTCTTGGCAAAGGTGTCCATTGATATCAAGCAGTGAAGTCAATAGCAATTTTTGTTATGCAAGACTTACTAGGTATTTCCAGATTTAGTTTTATATTTCTACATGTCTAACAAACTTAATAAAGACACTATTCTTGATTTTTATAAGATATTGCATTTTTATAAATAACAAAGTTGCCAACAGTGCAACTATTTTGGAAATTTGATTTAAAAGTCTGCTTTACGTTTTTGAAATATATTAAGAGAGACAGCAGTTTTCAATTTACTTTCCTGAAGTACAGGGAAAGGACAAAGCCATTTGCTTCAAGCGGTAATCCCAATTAGGCCTCCTAAATTAAATCTTTTTCATGATTCCAGAAATGAATTATTTCCATTGTAGTGTTTTTCCTAACACCTGCTCTATGCTGAAAAATTAGTTTGCATTCAGCAATGCCTCCACCAATATATACCTGACTTTCTTCTCCCCCGCGTTCCCATGGCTCTCCTCAGACAGAAATGTCAGGCAGCAGTAGGGCGACAAAGCCAGCTGTGACAGATGCAGAGCATGCTAACGCTTAGGTGATACTGACCTCATCGCTTCTGCAATACAGCAGTGAGCACAAGTCAATCCTAAATCAAAAAATCACTGACACTGGACTGAAGAAGGAAATCCAAGTGAAGGGGGTAGTATATTTTTCAAGTGAAGTGGAAAGCACTATATGCAATTGCCAATTTATTGGTATTGTAATTGTAATTACACAAAGTGTAATCCAAATTCTCTACTGCCAGTTTGTAGGCTCCCTGAGGAAAATAACTTAAAAGCCAGAAAAACAACCAAGGGCAGAAGCAGGGTGCTCAGCTTCTGAAGAAAGGCGAAAGAACTGGACCACCCAGGAGACACAAGTGCCAGGGTTTTTTTTGTTTCTTGCATGACCAAAATTTATATAATATAATGTGGTTCCCAATCCTAGGTTACGTACCAAGTCCATTTGATTAGAAGAACACAGAAGTGAAAAGATGTCAGAATACTCTAGTACATACTACAGGTATAGCGTATCTTCACAAAAAGCATTCCAAGTACATTGCACATTGTCTTTTTACTAACTTAGATCTGCAGGCCCTGGTAGTTCAGGTTTCTTTATCTTGATGTCAATTTATTCATAAATTATGTTTGTACAAGTCCTGTGTAATAACAGTCTGGTGCCTGACTAATGCGCTCAACATTATTATTTATTTACAGAGAAGGAATGATACTTAATTTCTTTCCTGATTTTCCTTTCAATATAAGAAAAACATTACATAATTTAACAACTGAAACAAGGTTTGGAAAACAGAATTTTGCATGTTTGTGTGCGTGTTTTTCAAAAAAAGAAAAAAATCTGTACCGTCATCTCCAGAACACTGAACTCAACATGAATCATTAATGTTGTACCAACTGCAATGCTACATCAATTCCCAACAGAACCTGGGAATTAATTTTCTTAACCAAAATTTTTTATACAAAATTAGAAATTTTGTAGATGGTAGGCACATTAAAAATGACAAACATTTGCATAATTTGAAAATCAAGTCTAGCCACATGAATGGCCCAATCTGAAAATTGTTCAATATCTACTTCTCAAAGTCACTACTGTTTAGTGCCCCTGAGAACACAGTTATGTAATTTATTTTAGATGCTTTGCATTAGGCTTCTGCATTTCTAATTTTCATTGTAGGGCCAGGGTGACACAGAATAATTCACATGCACGTACAATAAGCCTGTATGTACGTTCAGTGATTCCTTACTCAACAGCAGTACAGCATGATTGACTCAAAGCTCCTCATATATCTATCTGTCCAGAGGAAGTCTATGCCTATTTGTTTAAGTATCCCCAAACTTAACTCTATAGTAAACGTTTCAAAGTCCAGCTCATTTGATATCAAATACATTAGGCAAAGATTTATTTTCTATTCATCTCCAATTGCCCAGCAAAAGGAAGTGGACTGCATTCTCCCTGTTGCTCTATATTCACCTATTTCCACTAGCAGCAACAGTGGTGCTAATAAGAGGAAAATGTGTTCAAAGTCAGACCAAAGGTTTTTGCACTGGAGATTTTTCCTCATTTGAAGTACCAGTGACTTGAATATTAACAGAGCATCAGCCTAACATCCTCCATAAATCACTCTGCTACAACCTTAGAGAATGAAGTAGCTATGGTGACAGCATCTTTTTTTTCAGTGGTAAACGCTATGTTCTGAGTTGGCAATACCAACCTCACCATCTGGGGAACTTTTTTACAGAGGGTGCCTGCTATTTATCCCTCCCTTTTAGCATTTCTTCAAAATTATGTTTAATCAACATTCCCCACTACCACCAATGCCAAGGATTTACATTTTATATAACCCTGAAATACGTACAAGAGTCAGACAAATTCACATTTGAACAATTGCTGAGTTTGCTGAGGGTTCCCATCTGACTTTTAAAAACAGTGCTTCTCTGGCTTGAACTTAGTTTTGCACACTGCATGCAAGAGAAATCTGAAATCTTGTCCTGTTAGTATTAGAGGTCAACTATGCAATTAAGTTTGAGTGTTTGATTCAGTCCTAAACCTCAAGCATTTGGTATCTGATAGAAAGGTCCATTACTCTCATAGTTTAAAGAAACATTTATCCAAAGTAACTCACTCACAGGTGTCTCTTCATAGTGTAATACCTATTATTACTAAACATTATACCTATATTTAACAAGACATAGGGCTCTATGGTGTTATGCAATGTACGATACCAAGGAAGTTGAAACTTGTATCAGGCACGAATGGAAAAAAGTGTGACAGCACACAATAAAGGGGAACAGCAAAGGTGTCATTTTAGGCTAAAAAATACACTTTTGAAAACAAGGCCAGGGCTTCCTGACAATTTTATCTAGGCTTTTTTTCTGAATCCCGGTATAGATACGTATGTGTTTGTGCATGTACCTGTGTGATGTGCTTTACAATTAAATACACGAAGTACACATTCCTTATTAAGAGACTTCTGGAATTAGGGTGGATTTACTTGTCCAAACCTGAATCAATCTGATTTTTGCAGCTCATTAATAAATCATAGCTCACTCTATTTATAACCTTATGTCATGCTACTTTTATTCCATCTTCCTCAGTTCGCAGTGGGACTTGATGTCAGAATGCGACAAAATCAAAACTATTTTCCCACTTCTTTTCAGAATACTTTGGATTTCTTCCCTTCCTTTTTACTCCTCTTGTTTTCCTCTGTCTCTCCCCCTTAATTGAGCAGCAGCATCTTTTACGTAATTCTTGGATTTTTCATCTCTGACCTCCTGAATAGCAGCTAGTTCTGGTAGGTTTTCTAGACTTCTAATATTTCTTGCATTAAAAAAAAAAAAAAGTATTATCTCAAAACAGGATTTCAAGGCAAAATGCAGTAAGGGAAATTTATATTAAAATTAATTTCTTAAATGATATACTACCCTGTTTCTGGTCTCCTCTCCTCTCACCTGCTATAACAGATGTAGATGGGAGGTAAGAGTCCAGAGAGAGAGACCCTTTCCCTCTCAGAGCATCAAAATATATGTTTTTCCTGGCTTAAAGCAACAGTATCAACTTGCCAATGTTCAAGCACTTACTGTTCACAAACCATGAAGTCAAAATAGAGACCACCAAAAGCGTGAGTACTGGGAAAATAAGGGAAGATTTTTGCATGTTTTGGAACAAGAGGATCTATTTGAACTGAAAGTGACTAGAGTAAAAAGAAGACTGACGTGATTCAGAGCCATCTAGCGAGCATCGTTAAGCTTGGCACCAGTTCATGGCTGGTACAGTCCAAATGCTAGGAGCTTGCTGTGGTGTGCTGCAATAGTTGAGCCTTAGCAGGTGTCACAGAAGTGCTGAAACCTAAGGAGAGACTGAGAAGATGTGACTGTGGAAAAGAAAAATAGAGCAACAGGCCAGGATCTAAACAACTCCCTAACTTCTGGAAAGTTTAGGTTTGCAGCTCAGACCCATGTCTAGAAACAAATTTTACTCTGCCTTTGATTGTTTGCCATCTCTATTCACGTAGACTTTGTTAGGTGAACCTGATGTATTGCACATAATTCTACATGTTTAAAAGATATGCTCAGACCATTGTAGCACTTTTGCAAAAAAACAGCAGAAAGGGGGCCTAACAACTGAAAATACACAGGAAAGAGATACATGGAGAGTCTGAGGTAAGAAGAGAAAAGACAACACTCTGAAAAAAAGAAAAGAGACATTATAACGCATCTACAACTCACAGTTGTGGTAGTAGTAATCTCCTCCGTTACAACCTTCAGCGTATCGACCACTGAGATGTATCCCAGACGCCTTGCGATAGCTAAGGCAGTGTTACCATTCTGAAGAGAAAAAGAGAGAAAGAGAGAGAGAGGGAGAGAGAAATGAGAGGGAGGATTGTGATGTGAACCAATGAGATCACTCTCAACACTGCATGAGCCAGCATTTCCATCCAAAACAAGGCACAGCCTAGGAAAATCACTGTTTTTTTTTACCATTACATCTGACTCTGTCTTTGTAACTTCTTTAAGACTATAGTCCTGATTACCATGGTAACACAACACACTTACATCTGCCTGCTATTCTAAATAAAAAAGTGCTGTATGCTTTAACCCTAAAGTAGTAAAATTCTACTATGCAGAATGTGTCTTGCCTGAAGAAGCTGATGCTTTATTTTGCATAAACTGTTTTATATTAGGGATAGTCTTCTAAAAAAAAAAAAAGTATTCTAAAATCTTACAGTTTCGCTTTCAGTGGTAATTATTTAAATCTTTGGCACATACAATGCTCCTTTGGGGAATACAAGATTACAGCTGTATTCTCCAAATACACCTGTATCCCTCCTTATAACATATCCATATGCATAATAAAAGTATACAAAAGCTAACGATATAACAAACACTAGAACAACCTACACAAGCCTTGGAGTTTTGGAAGTATTTTCCATTTAAATAACGTTATTTTCATTTTAAATACCCATGATGTGTAGATGCACAACTTATCAACTGGACATTAAAATGATAATTTAGTAATTATTTAGGACTATTTATTTATCCTTCATTATCAGGAACATTACAATAGCCTGGGAGATAGCTATTTGTATATTCAATTTTACAAACTTAAATTGTTACTGTAAATGAACAGTGATTTACATCACCATCTGTCTCGCTGCATTTGAAATTCTACTCAAACTGCTGCAAAATATGGTCCAGCATAAGGCCATCTACAATACATAGCAAAATTAATGAACTTTCTTAATGAATAGAAGAAAAAAAATGAAGCATCAGAAATTAGCTAAATCATCTAAGACTTCTGAGGACACATCTTCCCTGCAGAACTGGCCTAGGTGACTGGCAGCCAGTTCAGCCTAAGTGACCACAGAAGAAGCCCTCAGTTACTTGGTTCTGCATGGCGTGACAATCCCTGCTCCCTATATCACTGAATTTGGGGAGGGAAGGAAGGGACATATTCCACAGTTCTTTGTAAAGAGGTGTAAGAACTTTTTTATTTTATTGAACTAAAGGAGAATGTCTTGGCACACTGGAGGAATTGTGGAAAGCCAATCTATGTCTCTTCGCAATAGAATGATTTGTCTTGTGACGTCACTGCAGTGTGCAACCTGAGGGCTTCTCTCTACTTCAGCGCTAGCTTTCGTCATCTCTAATTTAAGTTCTTCCGCGTTACTCTAATTCGGCAACTCTGAAGCAACACAAGGTGTGTGGATTAGCAGCACATAGTAAATAGATTGGCATCCTCACAGCATGAATGGTTTGTCTATTACTATCACTTGCTCTTCAGCTGCCCATATCCCAATCCCATATCCCTGTGCCAGCTGTCTCAGGTTGAAATTCTCCTGTAACTCAAGCTAAAGATTGGTACGTGTGGACAAGAAAAGAGTTAGCACCTGAGAAAGCATGCACACGGTGCAGTGAAGATACATGTTTAAGACTGTGTTTGGATGCAGGTTAGATTTGGGCTATGACAGCCCTAACAGAAGGACTGAAAGCAAGTAAAGAGACTTTCAACTGAATATACACAGCAAAATTTTAGTCCCAGAAGCTGACTACAAGAGTCCCTTAGTTTACAGGCTGGCACGTAAACTGGTCTCTTGGATAACTTCACAGCAGATTATTCAACATGGCTGTTCCCAGGACCAAAAAGGCCACCAGCGCTGGATTTAAGAATGCGCAATGTACGCACATGGTAACCTGAGCCACTCTGGAGAAGGCCATTGAGGTTTTGGACCTTCTGGCTGTGTTTTAAAGGTTGTCCAAGTAGAAGTGACTAATAACAATATTAACATGAAAGAGGAGAGTTCCATTCCTGCCTGACTGTGATGAAGGAGCTACCACTAGAGGTATATATACATACATACGTTGAGAGAGTGTGTGTGTGTGCACATGTATGTATATACACACACACAGACATATACAAACATAAATATATATTTATTTAGAGGTATATATATGCAGAGCTCAAAGAGCAAACACGCTCTTTGAGAAGGCCTTAGCATCAGTGAGCTTAGTAGGAACCTGAAACAGAGCTCTAGTAAACAGGGGGACAGAGACTTGGGTCCAAATCTTCAAAGAAATGCAGGTTCTGAATTCCCCCCAATTTTTATGAAAAAAATCTTATCATGACATCATTTTACAGACAGAAAAGTTGAGTCAGAGGGCAACTGAACAAATGATGGCCAGCCTGCCACTGTAGTTTAGAATTCAGTTTCCTCATCTCATGTTTAGTTCAGTGCACAATGGGTTATAGCTAATCTGAGCTGTCTTAAGAGGAAAAGGAAAGGAAGTTACATTTACACATCTGACAACCAGCTGTAGGAGGAATACTTTCACCAAAACACAGGCTTGCTCTCAGCCCCCAGAAAAGGAAAGAAAAGAACTGTCCAGGGAAGCAAGTCCCACAGACATTTCACAGACTTACAGTGGTGATGGCATTGGGCTTGGCCCCGTGTTGGAGAAGAACATTGATGATGTGAGTGTGGCCTTGTTGAGCAGCTTGATGGAGAGGGGTGTATCCATTCTGTTGTTGATGGTGGTTACCATAAAAGCAAACAAACAAATAACAAGAACCACCAGCAATTAGATCAGACACTTCATTTTACTTCCTTCCCCTTTGGAGACATTTGAATAAAAAATGTATGCAATCAATTCACCCCAAGATAATAAATCTTCAGCAATAATAGCATTCCTTCCCCAAAGTAATGAAAACAGAAAGGAAGATAATATTCATATTCACAAATCATCTTACATCTCACAATATAAGCAATTTCCAGAAAGACAGATAATCCCCTGTTCCCCAAAACAGAGATAGGAACAAGGAGAAACAGTAAAGTTAAAATGGCATGCTGAAGACCCAGAATACTAGAAGAGGCAGAGAACATTTTTCTTCCTCTCACATCTTATGTTTTTAAAAGGTGGTCAAGGACTTGCCTTTAAAATATTTAAGTCAATTTAAATTATATATAATTTAACAGCAGTGACTGAGTCCATTTGCTTTTAAAAAGGCCAACAATCTATACCTATTACAAATGTCAATCAATTTTAGCTTTACTTTGGCCTCAAAAGGCCTGGCCAAGCCATAATTACACTGAAAAATACGTACATGCTGTCTGTACTAATAAACGTGTTCAATTCTGTATATTTATCTGCTCCAGTGATTCATTCTGATGTTACACAATAAAGAAACAGAGCCAGAGTAACTTCAGCTAGTTGATCGGAGATGGTATTGTGCAAGTCCAGTCAGGCAATTCATTTATAACACTATTTGCAATTAGCTTTGAAAGTAAGCAGAAAATAAACTGGGAGAAAGCACCAAACTAATTTCACTGTACACTCATGTAAAACCTGGAGGCTTCACGCTGGCCTTTTGGGCTTCTGTGACACACTAAGATTTATTTCTTTTGTAGCTGAATGGATGGACACAAGTAACACTTTGTACTACTAGTTAAATGGTGATAGTCATTTCACTAGTTAAATAACCAGTTTATTTAGAACTGTTACACTTCTTACATTTACAGTACCCTAGTGAGAAAACAAAGTAGGATTTTACTGTAGGCTATAGTGCCCATAAATTTATTATCTCTACTTAAATATCAAGAAAGTCCTTTAAAACAGAGTTCAGGTACATTATTTTTCACTGGAGACCGCACAAAGCATCCTGCAGGCCTTCTCTATTTAAAGAACTGGCTGTAATAGAGGTTATTTATTCTCTAACATGTCTATCTTGAATCCAGCCAGGGTGGATTTGCTCTTTAAACTGAGTCCACAGTACTAGCTGACAGATTGCGAGGATTTTTATGGCTCCCCTGACATGGGTTTTGGAGAACCACTGTACCATGCTGTCATATCAGTCACTGTCGTTCTGTTGCTAATATAAACAAACTTGCTGATTTTAATGAAATTATTCTAAATAAGTGGAATACCTAGGGGAACTGGAGCCAGAAACCTGGACCACTGAGTCCACTAGCCCCATAGTCATGGAACGAGGCCTAATATTAAAGAGGCATCGTCGCTCTAATTAGACTCTAAATAACTCATCTGAATGTCTTGGCAGCTACCATTTGGATCCTGCTCATGTCTGCTTTATTAATGCTTATCAGCTGCTTTTCTAAGAGTGTTGCCAGTTCTTCTGGAATCTCTGTTTTTCCCCGTTTATTTTGGATGACTGCACAAAGGATGGGTCAAGCATTACTCCTGTCAAGGCTTTTATTTATTTATTTTGCTAACTGTGGCTGACCGCATTCAGCTGACGCCACTGTGATGAAATAGTCCTACACTGAGAAATGGAACCAATGGATGGAACAATCAGCAGATTGCGAGTCTGTGATTTTGATTGTGACTTACAAACACTAAGCGTGTCACCGGAGCTATCAATGGATTCAGTCCTTCACAATGAAGCTCAAACATCCAGAAAATAGTGAGGAGCTAGCTATTGTATGATGCTAGCTTTAACTAATCTGAAGTCCTGCAGCTCCTGAGTTAGCCTTCTCTTTCTGATAAGGGTGATGTGATGATATCTGGGATGCAACACACCATTACAGTCATCAAAACTCAGGGAGATCTACACTTCTTGATACAAAATGCACCACACAAATGCTGTTGCACAAACCAGTTTATACCGGAAGAAACTGCTGAAGCCAGTGGATTACATTCAGACCTTACCTATTTGCAGTTTGGTCCAGTTCAATAGAACTGATCAGTAACAGCATACCCAGCTCCCTCTCCAAAAAAACCCAAACCTGTCTTCAGTAGGCTGTATTCCCTCACTGCTGCTGCCTTCTTTCCCCAAGTCAGGCCACCCACACTTTTCTGAGCTGTAACTCTTCCCACTCCACTCCCCCATCAGACTGGAGAGAACTTGACATCACCCCCAAAGTCTCTGAACTGCTAATTATTAGTCTGGCAGCACACTGGTGATTATACTGCTGTAAAATATGTGTAAATGAGATGAGAAACAAACTTGTATTTGTTACTTGCAAATAAAAATAAAATAAAATAGAATGGATTCTCTTTTTATCTCTCTCTCACGCACAACCAAAGAGTTAACTACCCAGCAAGATGCAGCAGAGAGAAGGCATTTCGCTACCATTAAAATTCAACAGCTGTTGTCACCTACTGTGCATGAATAATCACAGACTTCCTAGTGGAAAGGACACCTAGTGGTATTTATTAGAACTGCTGGGTTACCAAGTTCATAATAAAGAGCAAAGCAAGCAATGAAAAATTCTTTACCTTTGTTTTAGCATTAACATTTGCTCCCTGCTTGAGAAGGAAATTCACCATTTTGATGTTTCCATAGTGACATGCCACAATTAAAGGTGTATAACCCAGCTACGATAAAAGAACAGAATAAGTAAAACTGCAAGCTCAGTGGAACATTCCTTTACAATCATAGTATCTTTTGGCACACTGGAGACAGTAGCCACTCCATGATTTACCTTTGTCTGAGCATCTTGGTTTGCACCATGTTTTGTCAGGATTTCAGCTACATTCACTTTATCCTCTTGAGCTGCAAGGTGTAAAGACGTCAGTCCAGTCTGGAGATGTAAAAAACAAGCAAATAAATAAATAATAATAATAACAAACTGCTTTACACCAGGAAAGAAATTTAGATTTTTTCATTTTGTCATCATTAACACATGAGGAGATCCTAACTGCAACTTCTAAATATGGATTTTTAAACAAAACTAGAGTTGATCCTTTTCCTATTTTGACAGACAAACAGCTCCAAAGCAATCACGTCACCATAATCATAGAGTAAACCTTACAGGCATCAACGACGCTTGGATTTTACCCAACAACACTACTGGGGAAGCTGAGGAGCCCATTAATGAATTAGGGTAGGAAGAATATTCACCATGCTTCCCACTCCTCAGACAGGAGAGGGAACCTTGACGACTGCAGGCATGAGTCAGAACGAAGAAAATAACTCCAAAAATACATGCCATTCAAAAATTCCAAAGAAATGGATGCAACCTTAAGTAAAAGCTTGCAGTGATGTACATGGTACTTGCCTTCGAACAAGGCATGAAACTGATTTTACCAGAGAAATGAAAAACACCTTGTTTTTCATTGGTTAGACAGGCTATTGCATTAACACCAGACAATGAGAGCTTGGGCCTTCCATTTTCACTTGTCTGAGCAAAAGCTGCAGGCTTTTGATCTTAAGTTTTATACAAATGCCTGGATAAAACTGGTGACCTATGAAGACCTACAGTAGGTAATGGGGTGTTTTTTGAGGAATCAGCTGATTTTCTATGAAGTAGCTGTCACATACAATCACGAAAATCCAAATGATCAGAAAGGTCCTCCTTAGGATTTTTTTTTTTTACTTGCTACTCAAATAATATTGTTTTACTCGTTGCTGGACACTGCTAATTTCTTCCACATGGGCAAGAAGGCCAAAGGGTAAATACATGATAAAAAGTGCTTTGGTTGGCATAACCACTGAACTATTTTCGATTGCAGCTCTCAGGTTTCTGTTACATGTTGTTAAATCAACCCAGGGACCCACAAACTCCAGAACGCTACATTCCTCATCCTTTGCATCTAAAGCAAGGCTTTGGAAACATATGTGAAACATCTGAAAGACAGCAAGGTTGCAGCACAGCAAAACTACTGCTGTCCTGCCTTCCTGAATGACTTGGAAACAATTTTCTCTTGCCCGTCTTTTCTCCTCTTTGTCTAAAGTAACCTTTCTAGCAGAGCTAGGTGTTGCATCATTTTCCTCTTGTCATGGCAAACAGCTGCAGCTCCTCCTGAGTGTCACCCAGCACAGCTATTAATGATATTATATAAGCTAACTGGTTAATCTCTATCTGCCAGTCCTAGACATCCTCTTCTCACTTGCACTGTTCATCCACCTGTTCTCACTTGTGGAAATTCACAGAAACGTACATAACAAAGTGGAGAATTTCTAAGAATGTGACATCATTCCAATACTGCACTTTGCACCACACTGAACACTCCCACCATAGTACTTTGCCTCCCGTTGAGAGTTACCTTTGTTGCCACATGGATGTTAGATCCTTTCTCCAAAAGCAAGGTCACCATGTCAGCGTGACCTTCTTGGGAGGCCAAATGAAGTGGGGTCACTCCCTGTTTGGTCAAAATGTTGGTCTCAGCCCCATAGTTCAATAGAGTGGTAGCTATCTGCATCTGATTTTTCTTTGCAGCAATATGCAGAGGGGTGTATCCATTCTAACACCAGTCAGGAAAACAAAATGAGAGGAAAGTTAACACAGCAGCTATACAAGTGTATGAAGTCAGATACCTTAAAACAATATTTTTTCTATGCTCCCCACTATCCCAGAGATGAGAGCTCATTATGTTCCGAAGGCAAAACATTTCCCATGTGGTCTGGCTCTTCTGATGCTTCGGCCATCTGTATTTTCCCCTTCCAAACTAGAGCAAAGCTACAGCTGACAGCAATCTGATACCTTCAAATTATCCTGACTTTGACACCTACATTTTAAATACCCTAGGCTGTAAATATTCACTTTTGACTGATGAGTGACATTCTCTGGAAAAGTGATGGGTGAACACCCTTCACTGCGTTATGCTTTTTTGCAGTGTGTGGGTAGATCTGCGTTTGCATATGGAATTTTGATACATGTGTCAGTCATGTTACTGTCTGGAAACACAGAGAGGAGTGTTTTTCAGTTCGAATTAACCACTTAAGCAAAGCAGACATCATATTTTTTGGCAAGAAGAAAACTTCCAATTTTTAATGGCTTTAGAATGCACTATGCGGAAAACTCTGGGTTCTAACAAACAGCCTCTTTAGAGGGCTTTGGTTGGTTGGTCTGGACTTTTTTTGAAGGGGAGCATTATGAAACTACCTTGTTCCAACTGCAGCTTTTGTTACTCTCCACACACAACAGTAGAAAGAACAGTTCTTACGTATTCACTGAAAAGACAGGCCACCTCTTTTTAATGGAATATATAATAGCAGTCCCATACCAGTCAGAACATTCTCAAATCAGTAACAACTTTCTTGTTATTTCTCTCTTTTAGTAGCCTTTGCCTAACCTAGTGAGATCATAATACTATTCCTAATCCCAGAAGGAATCCTGCATATGCCTTTTCAATTCCTACTAAAAGGTTTCTACTGTGAGACAATATTAAATGAGTTCCAATTATGATTAAAACTCACGGACACAGAAGCGGACTTAGGCACACGCACACATACATACGTTTACTACTTCTTCTTCAAAGAAGGTCCGAAAGAATCATAGAATCGTTTAGGCAGGAAGTCATCTGGTTGAAACCAATAACAACTCCCCAGTTATATTAGGTTGCTCAGGAATTTGCCTAGCCAAATTCTGAACATCTCCAAGGAGTCTGCCACCCCCTCAGGCAACTCGTTCCAATGTTTGACCAACCACACTGCGAACCACACATTTCTTTCGTTATATCTAACTGAATAATCTCCCGTGTTGCAACTTGTGGCTACTGCCCCAAGACATTGTCTCCATGTCAAGCATTATCCCACCTCTTAGGCACCCTCAGAGACTAAGTACTGCAGTGTCACATGCATCTGGTGAGATTTCTCACTGCTTTCAGCCTCCAGTGGCTATGTTTGAGTGGAGAGTCACATGCTCGATACGTGGTGCCCCCAGCTAGCAAGTAAGGGGGCAGTACTGAGAAAGGCTGTAACCACATTTTTCTCTCAAGGGTTTTACGCTCATGTAACACCCACAGCTCTTCATAAAATTACTAAGTTTTGCTTTTAAGAGGAGGGTTGGGCTCTGCATGGCAAAGCACCAGTTGGAACAGACAGCTTTAATCTGTCTAGAATAAAAGTCAAACCATTAATCCATAAATACTTTCTGATTCAGCAACTCATCTGCAAAAGAAGGTGCTGCACAGTTTCCGACAAAGCAGACTGCTTCCCTATGTCTCATTGCAGCTGATAATCAGCCGTCCTTAATTTTCAGCGAAAAGGAAGGGGTACGACAGGCGTGAGCACGACGCGACAGGGTAGGAGCACATCGCCATAACGCCCTTCAGCGATCAACCCTCTCCCCCAGCAGCTCCCCCCTGCACTGCGTTAAGAGCTGAAGAGTTAAAGGGCGGAGGGGAACGATGCGGCCGTTGACGGGGCGGGGCTCACCGTGGCGGTGGCGTGGGGGGAGGCGCCCCTCTCGAGCAGCAGCAGCGCCACCTTCTGGTTGTCGTAGTGCGCCGCGACGTGCAGCGGGGCGAGGCCGTTCTGCAAAGGGCGGTTACTGCGTTAGGCGCGGCGAATAACCGTTAACGGGTTAGCGAGCACGCTGGTGGGGCTAAACTCATAAACCATGAATGCCTGTTTTTAATATTAGAAACGTGGACCAAAAATAATATTTAGCCAGCGGTTAGTGGGCTGGGTTTAATAGGAAGGAGAAGCGGTGGAGGATGAATTTGAGCTGCCTGACTGCTCCCGGGGCGCACAGCCAGTTTTGGGCCGCTGGCTCCCCGCAGCTCCCTGACAAGCAATCCTTACAGCACAGGAAAGAAACGGATCCTGCCCTCCTGTTTTTGAATTAAGATTTTTACAGACCAAACAGCTGAATGGAATAGTTTTTTTTTCCTGAGCCCCAGAAACATACCTGTTCTAGAGCTGTTCATAGTGTGCCCTTCTATGAGCAGGGTAAAAACATATAAAACCAACAGATTCAGTAAATGCAGTTTCCAAAGCGCGCGTACCTAACCATCACCCTCGGGAGAATGCAGTAAAGCTAACGCGATCAGGTGAAAGCAGCTGCCCCCTTCTTTCGTACGTCTGTTTCACACAGTTATTTCCGAAAGGAGCAGCCGCACCGCGGCTGACTTCTGCCCCTGAGCCCCCGCGCCAGTACCTTGCCAGCTGAATCCGGAGAGGCACGGCGCTGCAGCAGGAGCTTCGCCACTTCCAGGCTCCCGTATTTGGCTGCCACGTGCAAAGGCGTGAATCCCTTCTGAGAAACGCCAGGAGATAAAAGCAAGTGGCTGTGTTAAAAGTTATGCCGACATCTCTCTCTTAGAACCGCACGTACTCCTCTCTGATAGTGAATGTCATAGGCGGTTCTGCTTCAACCTTTATCCTAACTGTCATTTTTATTCAGAATCAATAGCCATACCTAGAAATAGCATGATCACTTGAAAGCATTTTGAAAAGTGTGATGTACAAAAAAAACCAACTTCCTCTTTTACTCTTTCATGTGTACATGGTGTCAGGCTGGCAGACATTTCATCTCACACAGATTCCATCAGCAGAACACATTTTGTGGGCAATGACAGCACTCATTCGAATTTCTACTCAAAATTGGCTGCGTTTTTAAATCAGTTTCATAATGATAGCTTTAGAAATATTTCCTGTAACATTTGTTGCCTGTTACAATGAAACACCATGTAAACTCAAGTGAGAAAAGCCCCAGAATTTGTTTGCCTTCTTCAGGGAGTTTGTTGCAGAATCATTTTTATTTGGACGTAGCACCTCTACAGTTACCAAGTTCTGTTGCAGCCTCTGCAGTTGAGGTGAAAAAAGTCATGCATGACTCAAGGGCAGTGTTTTTGAAGGCTACTCTAGTAAGACTAAAAATATTGTCTCTTTAAATAAAGAGTCATTTTCTTTCAGTTTTAATAATGGTTGTCAGCAAAGCACAGACCTAAGATCTATGTCCAGCTAAGATGCTATTTGCTTACCCCTTCAGTTTTAAAAAACATGCTGGTAAGACAATCTCTTGGATGCAAGACAGTAGGTGGCAGACTACACTGCTGTCCTGACAACAATCCCCAGGAGCCACCAGGGCCTATTTGCCTGACATATATAAGTGATGTGTAGTGTTTATTTTCATCGTCATTTTATTCAATTAATCCCACTTTAGAAGAGTTTACATAAGGCAATCTCAAACGTTTCCATCTCATGAATAACACGTTAGCAGAGAGATTATCCAGTGGTCCACATCTTTCCC